GAAAGAATGGGAATCAGCCGAGCAGACATAGTGGGGCCTCCGTCTCCATTAGTTGCATTCACAAGTGAATCAGCCATGTCTCTCGGGACAATCAAGCTACCGGTCCTTGCCAAAAAAGTATCGAAGATCGTGGACTTCGTTGTCTTCGATAAACCCGCAGCTTACAACATCATCCTTGGTACTCCCTGGATCTATCAAATGAAAGCAGTCCCCTCTACATATCATCAATGTATCAAATTTCCAACATCAAGAGGAGTGGAAACAATTCGGGGAGATCAAGAAGCTTCACGGACGTGTTATCTGGCTAGCCACCGTATGAAGATTCAATAGCAATTAACGAAGCCCGCAAAAGAGGGACTAAGAACAAAATTTCCTAGCGGGCAGAAGAAAGATGATCTAGTAATCGAAGTGGTGTTGGAAGAAGACAAGCCGGACCGGAAAATTTGAATTGGAGCAACTCTGACTGGCCAAATAAAAGAAGCTTTGATCGAACTCTTAAAGAAAAACAAAACATCGTTTGCATGGTCAGCAGCAGACATGCCTGGTATAGATCCAAATATAATTTGTCACGAGCTAAACGTGGATCCAAGCTTCAAGCCGGTGAAACAGAAAAGAAGAAAGCTCGGAGTGGAGCGAGCCAAAGTGGTAAATGACGAAGTGGATAAACTTTTGAAGATAGGGTCCATAAGAGAAGTGCAATACCCGGAATGGGTAGCGAACACTGTCGTCGTCAAAAAGAAGAATGGGAAAGATAGGGTTTGCATCTATTTTACAGACCTAAATAAAGCATGTCCCAAAGATAGTTTCCCGCTCCCACATATAGATCGCCTTGTAGAGTCCACCGCTGGGAACGAGCTGTTAACATTCATGGACGCCTTCTCGGGTTATAATCAAATAATGATGAACCCCGAAGATCAAGAAAAGACGTCATTCATCACTGATAGAGGTATCTATTGTTACAAGGTAATGCCTTTTGGTTTGAAAAATGCAGGAGCAACTTACCAGCGGTTGGTTAACAAAATGTTCCACAATCACCTCGGGAAGACAATGGAAGTCTACATAGATGATATGTTGGTCAAATCGTTAAAGAAAGAAGATCACGTTAAACATTTGGAGGAATGTTTTGATATTCTCAATAAATATCAAATGAAGCTGAACCCGGCGAAGTGCACATTTGGAGTCCCATCTGGAGAATTTCTTGGCTATATCGTGACAGAAAGAGGGATTGAAGCCAATCCAAATCAAATTAACGCCTTTCTTAACATGCCGTCTCCAAGAAACTTCAAAGAAGTACAACGGTTGACGGGGCGGATTACGGCTTTGAATCGTTTTATCTCGAGATCAACAGATAAGTCGTTACCTTTCTACCAAATTCTAAAAGGGAACAAAGGATTCCTTTGGGATGAGAAGTGTGAAGAAGCTTTTGGGCAGCTTAAGGCATACTTAACCACTCCGCCTATACTGTCCAAACCGGAAGTGGATGAGAAACTTTATTTGTATGTATCGGTTTCAAACCACGCGGTTAGTGGAATCTTGGCTCGGGATGTTCGTTTGGTTCGAGAGCATCCCGAGCCAGAGCCACGAGTATTTCACAAGGTTGACCAAATTCCGGCTAAAGACTGGGGGGCTGACTGGAGGGAGCCAATAAAGCACTACATCATGACAGGTGAGCTCCCAAAGAATAAATGGCAGGCCAGGAAAATGAAAGTCGTTAGCGCGAAATTTTGTCTGTCAAAGGATGCGTTATATAGACGAGGTGTCAGTGACCCTTACCTATTATGCATTTTTGGGCCCGAAGTCGAAATCGTCATGAGCGAAGTGCACGAAGGATTATGTGGGAGTCATTCATCAGGAAGAGCTATGGCTTTTAAAGTTAAAAGAATGGGATATTTTTAGCCCACTATGATCACAGATTGTGTTAAGTTCGCCCAAAGATGCAAGCGCTGCCAACTCCATGCACCATTGATCCATCAACCATCGGAATTATTCTCCTCCATTTCCGCCCCATACCCGTTTATGAGGTGGTCAATGGACATCATTGGACCATTACACAAATCAACTCGAGGTGTACAGTACCTTTTAGTCCTTACGGACTACTTTTCAAAATGGATTGAAGTTGAGGCGTATGTTGGTATCAAGGATTCGGCAGTGAAGACCTTTATTTGGAAAAACATTATATGTCGACATGGAGTTCCATACGAAATAGTCACTGATAATGGACCGCAATTCATTTCACACGAGTTTGATGCCTTTTGTGTGGACTGGGGAATTAAAGTTAGTTATTCTACTCCACGATATCCGCAAGGAAACGGTCAAGCTGAAGCCGCGAACAAGACAATATTAAGCAACCTCAAGAAGCGCTTAAGTCATCTAAAGGGAGGATGGTATGAAGAACTCCAACCCGTCCTGTGGGCCTATCGTACAACCCCTAGGCGACCTACAGGAGAAACTCCATTCTCTTTGGTTTACGGCATGGAGGCGGTAGTACCAGCTGAACTCAATGTGCCCGGACTTCGCCGAACAGAAGCACCGTTAAATGAGGAAGAAAATTCAGCAATGCTTAATGATTCACTAGATACCATAAATGAAAGGCGTGATCAAGCTCTAATTCGGATCCAGAATTACCAGCAGGCAGCAGCCCAGTATTACAATTCTAAGGTTAAAAGTAGGCCTTTTTTTGTGGGAGATTATATATTAAGGCGCGTCTTTGACAACAAAAAAGAAGAAGGTGCCGGTAAACTTGGTATTAATTGGGAAGGACCTTACATTATTACCGAAGTGGTTCGGAACGGTGTTTATAGGTTGAAAGACTTAGAAGGCAATCCGGTCAAGCGACCTTGGAATGTGATCAACCTAAAGAAGTTTTATGTTTAAAGCTACATGCATTGTTTATGTACATGAACTACGATGTGGCTTGATCCCGAAATGGGTACGTAGGCAGCTTGGAAACAAGTTCAGCTATTAATAAAAATTTGTTTTATTTCTTTATTAAAGGATAAAGGTTCGACTTTGCGAACAAGTGAAGCAAATAGAAGGTTCGGCTAAGCGAACATACAAGAAATTGGGAATAGAACGTTTATTCAAAAGACGGAATGTCCCTCATCGTACACTTCGGACTATGAAAATCTTGTTGACAAGCAGAACACTTCAACTCCTTGACCAGCAAGATCGAGGATTGGCATCATGCAGTCCGGAATTCGAGCAAAGTCAGAGATTCCAAGCTCAATCCATTCTCCGGGGTGAGATTCAAGGATGTGAAGATTTCTTGACACTGTAGTAAGCCTGCGTTGCATCCGGTTAATCCTCTTCCGGAGTCTCCTCTTTTCCGACATAAGCTTCCGGTGTTGAAGCTCGAGTGCCTCTATAAACGCCGTCGCTGTTCCTTAGTCTCTGATTGGGAGATCCCTGATCAAAGCACATGGGGCTCGGATCTGAGATCTCAAGGAGCCGCGAAGTGGAGGAGGCTGCCTGCTTGGCTCATTTGGAACATCTTCGTTTATCATTCCGATTCTGGAGAAGTCGGGCATAGATTCTGAACAGCGAAGATTGAACTCCATACCTACTAAAATGAAAAGAATGGTGAGAAGTAAAGGGAAATTGAGACTATAATTTATAGGAACGTCATATCCCCAACAAGCTGCGGATTCTATCCAAGGAATGGAGTGATTCGCGGAGAGATTTATGCCCTCGAACAGATCCTGCATTAAAAGGCGCATCTCCGAGAATATTCGAAAAGAAAGGAAAGTTGCAAGTGTTTCCATAAATAAAAAGGGGGGCCGAAGCCCATTACGAGTTTAAAATAAGTGAAGAAGTTAAAGAACATTTATGGAAGAGGCTCAGGAACAGGCTCCTTCATCGCCGGTTTAGTCTTCGAAGTGGACGCCTTGTTCTTGGCATCCACTTCGGAACGATCCCGAACGCTGGCCTCCTCCTCCAAATCGTCCTCCTCTTCGCTGTCAGATGGAACGGCGCAAACATGGACGTTCACGGGACCCGGGACTCCTTTAGCGCGGAGATACATCCGAAGCATCTTCGGGATCTCAGCGACGGAGTCGAAGTTCCGCCACTCCCATTGAAAGGGATCACTCTCCAAGGCCCGTATCTTCCTCTCCACCCGAGCAATGCGAGCCTCGAGTGTTTGCCTTTTAAGGCCCAGCCGTTGCCTCTCTTCACACAAGCGACGGTGCTTGTCGGCAACCTAGCATAAAGATGAATGAATAAGATGAAACAAAAAGTTTTTAAGTCAAAAACTTTAAATATTTACCTTGTCGATAAACTCGCAAGCCTCTTTCTTCTCCTTTGAAGGAAAGTGAAAGACGGCGTGAGGGAAGAGAACGCCGGCCGGTTCAAAGCCGTCGCCGGACAAGAAGAGTGGGCTGCCGGGATCAACGGGGGCTACTTTTTCGTTTTCCATTCTTGAAATATTTCTCAAGTAAGATTCTAAAATCGTGTTTAAATAAAGCTTAGAAGTGGGTAAGCCTTTATTTATAATGATTTAGGGTTTGTCTTGGAACCATAAATCCAATAATGGTAGTGTGTCCGAATGGTTTAAACCATTTTTGGAAAATCGAGAAAAGGCAGTTATTGCATTAAAGACGAGCCGTTTTCCTTACTTATAAGAAAGGAAAGCGCAACCGTCGCATTAACTACAAAAGTTTCTGAGGCCCAAGCCCAATAAGTTTATCGAGTTGACTAAACCCGAGGTGGGGAACTCGCTTTAAGCCGAGCTCAGTTCTCGCATTCTAAAGAGAAAGGTCTGATCAGCCTAAAAATCTCAAAAGCATAACCACAAGGCCACAAAAGGTTAAAAGCGGACTTTGCAAACCCGCATATAATTTTAACCAAACCCCCTTGGGAACATAACCTAAAAAGGTTTAAAAGCCTCCTCAGGCAAATATCTTGTTCAAAAGAAATGATAAAGCCTCCTTAGGCCAAAAATAAGTTCGAAATTAAGTCTTAAAATTAAAGGGACAATTCCCAATTTAAAGTGGACGCAGCCACTACGGAGTGATATCCACCTCGGACCCCGGCTCAGCAACCGAAGTTTCGTTCACCTCCTTAGTTGGTGCTTGGTCGGATGGAGCTCTTGGTCCGCCCTCTACATTACAACCATCCTCCGGAGTGACCGCCGGTGCCACAGGTACTTCGGGTGGGACGACATCCTCCGCCTCACTTGAACCTGGGAAGGACAGTCCCAGTCAACTTAAAAAAAAAAGAAGTGAGGAAAAGGTAGTAAATGTCAAGAGCCAAGCATTACCTGCCCAATCTAGACCTGATTCACTTATAGGAGGCGATTCAGTGAAGAATTCCTCGAAGTCCTGAGGGTTGAAGGTCGAAGTAGGAAGAGCTGCCAAGCGACTCCGCTTTTCAGAAAGATTAGCCGACAGTTCGGTCCTCTCATGCTCCTCGGAGAAATCTGTATCATGGATTTGATCCAGCAAGATCAGGTTGCTCTCGTGCTCCTTGATGTCTGATTCCAAATCAGACCTAGCTTTCTCGGTCTGCATGAATCGGATGGCCCCTTGGATCAACTCCATCCCGCGTCCCTTAACCTCTTTTCTGGCTTTTGATGCCGACCTCGCCAACTCGGAGTCACGCAATTTAGCAATCGCCTTGTACTTCGCGTTAAGCTCAATAAGCTGGTTGTTCAGGGTATCGGCGGTTGATTCGGATTCATGAAGTCTACCCTGAACACCAGAAAGCTCACCCTGGAGTTTGAAATTTTGGTCATACTGGTCCTGTAGCTCCCCTTTTATCTTCGCAAGCTCGGATGATAGACCATCAACCTTGTCCTCCAAATCATGCTTGGAGTCGGTAGAAGAGCGGAGGTCAACTTCGAGATTAGAAAACTTGTCCTTCCACGTGTCGATCTCTTTCTCCCGACCAATGACCAACCCTTCGTAATGTTCAATTATGTCATTGAGCTCGCCGTTCGCCTGTAAACCCGGAATGACGGATCAGTTCAAAAAATGACGGTAAAGTCAGAAATTGAAGCGGAACTAACCCGAGATGAATGATGAGCATGAAGTAGATATCGTTCACGAATTGCAGAGCGCCATTTGTTGAATTCCGGCAGGATCGCGCCTGACCGGGTTTTGAAGCACCGAAAAACGTTACCTTCTTTCTCCATGGCTACGAAAGCGAAAGAGAAAAGGTCTTAGAAATTCAAAATAAGTACAAGACCAAAAGAATACATGTGCATCGTCATACCTGAGAGCGATTTGATCTGAGGAACAAGAGCAAGCTTTGTCTTCGGAGAATCATCTCGAGACTCAGAACTATCCTTCTGAGAAGTTGCACCCAGGTTCGTCTTCTCACCACTACGTTGAGAAGAAGAAGACATATCAACAGGACGAGGCGGACCCATTGGTTCAGTAGGAGGGGACGATCGAGGAGAACGGTCAATCCGGGCCCTTGACTTCTCTCTTCGCGGAGAAGAACCACTGCGGGATGACATGTCCCTCTTTTTGCGAATTAAATCCTTGAGCGGTTCGTTGCTAAAGTCATCCCGGGAAGAACGATGAGAATCGCGGTTAGGAGATTGAAGCCTCCGGGAAGGACGCTCGTCGTGACGTTCACGTCGAGGTGTCAATCTGAAAACAGCGACGGATCTGGCTCCTTCGGTGCTACCGTCGTCAACCAATAAGGTTTTGCTATAATCTTTTTTGTCAATGGCGGTCGCAAGGAACGCCTTGTTCTCGTCACAAGCCTCAGCCATCGGCTTGGAGATCATTTTTCGCTGGGCAGTAAGAGCCCGAGCTGACATTCCCTGGGTTGAGGGAGGGGCGGAAGACGATGAAGATGGTTGGGAGGGCTCATCCTGAGTTTTCGATTGGCTTCTATGAACCGATCGAGAGTGAAAGAATTCCAAAGGGTTTCCCCTTCGAGGATTATTTTGAAGAAGCCAATGAATTCCTCAGTTGGTAAAGACGGAGCGACGAAAGCTGCGAAGTGAAAATAACAAGTTTAATCAATAGGAATAATAAAATTGGAGGAATGAATGCGACCTAATTTCTACCAGGTTTCGCGGACCACTTCGATGGAAGTAAATCTGATAGACTTCCAATCGAAGCAGGGGTTTTCTTAATCAGGAACCAAGGGTGATGCCAATTTTCATCCTTGTTTGGAAGATGTGAAATGACGTTCCTGTTAGCATTAGGGTATGCCGAGAAATACCCCGTCTTCTTCGATGAACTTCTCACGCTTAGAAGCTCATTCAACTCGGGGACCCCTATGATGTATCCGGCCTCCGCCGCTACTGTTATAATTCCAAGTATGGTTCGGAGAAGATTGGGGGTCAATTGAGGAAGAGCGATCTCGAGAACCGCCAAGTACCGAACTAGGGCTTCGGGAAGTGGGAAAGTTAATCCGCAACCCTTGAAATAAATCTCGTACACATAGAAGTAACCATCGCGATGGTTCTCTGGGGATTCTGTGGGGGCAGCTATTTGTGCTTCCGCCATAATTTCCGGCGGAATCCGGCAAAGCTCTCTCAATCGCTCGAGGGATTGAAGAGTACAAGTGGATCTATAGTGCGGACCAGCAATATCATTAGGGCGAGTGCACTCGTCATTACTAGGGCGCCTATCGTCAAATGACGGAGATTCGGGCCTTTCGGAATCAGAATTCATCGGAGAATATGAGAAATTTAAAATCCGGCAAAGAGAAAATCGGCGAGGAAAGAGAAGAGAAAGTTTTCGATTAAAGCGTAAGAGTAAAAGTGATGATGAAAGAAGTTACCTCACGAAAGCTAAGTGATAATGATGGAACCGTCTTGGAAATCGTGGAAGAAGTGGGAAGGTTTTTTCCCGCTTTAATAGTAAATAAACGATATGCGGTCATAATGGCGACAGATGTCACGCGACTAAATATGGGTAGCACCGAAATTAAAGGACTGATGGGATCTTGGCGGGAAAATCAGAAGATTCCTCGGAACGCAATCTTTGGTCATTAAAGCATTTAAAGTCCTCCGAATTGGAATAGCACTTCGAAGAACTTGGGGGGCTAATTGTTGGTGTCGGATCCCGCACCAGAAGTCCGAGACCAACCAAAGATTGCCACGTAGTCAAGATAAAGGCCCATAAAAGATAAAGCCCGTCGAATCCATGAGCCAAGGGAACAGTCGAAGTGGTTGTCACCACTTCGAGAATCCGAAGTGATTGCACTGTGACATGAGTTCGGTGTAGAAGACACGGGTAAGTCGGTTCAAGGACACTTGGGCCAAAAAGGCGAGGCCCATGAAGATCAGAGTCAACTCAAATTCAAACGTTGAGCATTAAAGTCGAAGAATCAAAACGGACACATTTAAGAGGGAATAATTGTACTTAATTATTCATTTTAATGTCAATTCTCTATGTATAAATATGAAGGCCAATGGCCATGTAAAGGGGGATCTTCCTCTCAAGAAAGAAATACTATAGCAATTTTCGTAGCAATTTAGAAGTTTTTACCTATTCATTTTTGTCCCTCAAGAATAATCTTTCCTACTTAATAAAATACTTGAGTGTGTGAATCCGACATCCACAAAGATGAGAGTTTTGGCTGAATTTGTAGAGTCAAAGGGTAACGTTGAGGAACATGGCCATGCTGGAATAGCAGTGGACGAAATACTCAAAGTGTTGTGGCAGACATCCGATTTGCTAACATGGATAGGAACGCAACCAATATTTTGGTACAAGAAGGCAACAACGGGTCAGTTAACCTATTGCCAATAGATCACGAACGGTCCTTCTCCAATAATCTTACTCGACAACAAAACTTTATTTTTTATTGATTCAATGTCTATTTCCTTTTGTCATGTTGCTTAGGTAGGGGAGTTTAATTACATAATTAATAGAATACTTTGCTTTGATTGATATATGTAATCATGAAAATATCCAAATTTGAAAAAGTATGTAATTTCATAGATAGTTAGCGATTTTATATTTAGTTGTTTATAGATCGATAGTGGATGATTAAGCAATATAATCTTGTTTTAGGTTTTGAAGTTTTAATATAACTTTTTTTGGTGAATATGTAAAAGTCATATTAGATTTAAGAAATGATCTGAATTCAAAAAAACATGTATTTTTATTTGCATAGGATATCCAAAAACTTTGGACCGGCTCTGCACGATATGTGTTATTCCAATGTTCAACAAGATTACAACATTTGGCGGCCGTTGTTGGATAAAATGGTTACATGCTAATGATAAAGGTATTGCCAACAAAGTTTTTTCTTTGCGCTCCGTCAATTACGGGGATTACTCTATCCCGATAATGATCCCGAGACATGAGTAATCCCGTAAATGAGATACACAAACTTGTCATCACATACACATGCTTCCGGGACATCGATGAGAACATTATTAATCTTATGGTCTAAAAGGCGAAAACATGTCACTTCAGCTTGTGCCAATAGATCACGAGATGTGCTTTTGGCAATGATGTACAACCATATAACATTTGTAGCCCTTGCTGGTTAACTTGGTTAAAGAATGAAAGAAAACGCAATTAAACTTTCTCCTTGAAGTCTGTAAATTATGTGGCAGGTCTAGACTTTGATAAGGATCTTGACTTTGTTCCAGGATGTGGATGGGAACCTGGGTTGGGTTTGAGTGAAAACTTCAAGGTTTTTGGAACTTTTTTTGAGAAGGCCTTACATGCTTTAGTGTTGTTTGCTTATTCTTAAATTTGCATTAGTTATTGTTAGAGTTCGTTTTTAATGTTTTTATTGCAATTAAATATTCTGGTGTTGTCTTCGAGACATGATAATTAAATTTTTAATGTGTAGTTTGTTCTAGAATATTAATTATAACTACAAATTTTATTTTTAATTAGAGAATTTAAATATTTTACGAAATTAGGCAAATTTTCTTCAAATTAAGAATAATTAATTTATCAAGAAATGAATACATTTATTAATTAAGAAAATATCTCATTCCCACATTATTAATTTTTAGAGGTTTTGATGTACTTTTATTCAAGTGTACTACCATTTGCACATAATGTGTATGCACTATTGTTGACGTTCTAGTTGTCTTTGATAAAAATATGTATACACATTATGAGATCTTTAATACTCTAATATGTCGCTTTAACTTTACCAGCTAATACTGTAATTGTTATAACTTATAAGGAATAAAAATACATTAGGTTACTGAAATGAAAACAACCAACAACAAAATATATGACAAGAGTTAAATGCCGACGAACACTAAAAAATATTTGATAATGCACTTTAGAATCAACAAGAATGAGTTGTAAAATTAATCTCTTCTAAAACTTTATGAAGAGTAAGTGGAAGTTTGGAGGCACACATGCGTCGTGAACTCTGTGATATGTTTCTTGTCTATGGACTTTCACAAACTCTACATACAAAAGAAAAAACGAAGTAAGTGAAGTAAAATGCTTAATCTCGTAATTAATATCTTCTAACTAGCAGAATTCATATTTGCACACACATGGATTTGGGTATGTACGTATGCAGCCACTATTTCAGCGTGGATTGGTTTTATATATGTCAGACATATTTTCATATATAGTACAAGTGAACTATTAACTTTTTATAGTTTGAAATCTGTTTATAAGATGACAGTAAACAGAGCAAGGCCGAGGGAGAAACCATGAGGAACGCGAGATTCAAGAGGAAAGAAACCATGAGGAACGCGAGATTCAAGAGGAAAGAAACCACTGAGCATCCTTGACGTTAAAGTTGGAGAGAGTGGGGAAGCGTTTGACTTTGTTGTAAGATTGAAACACAAAGAAAATATATAGATTAGAAATAAGATTTTTCACTTCCAAATCAAGAAATTTAGATATATAGACAGACCATCGAAAATGTTACGAGTAAGGGATAATATAAGTAAAAGCTTTGACGATGAATATATATATATATATTCCCAAAATCTGTTGGTCCTTCCAATTGGTTTTTCTCCAAATAAGCAAAATGTAATGAAGGATATTCATTAACAATGTAGTAGAAAACTCACATCACATTTCAAGTTGTGGAATAAACTCTTGTCAGGTGGAAGCGTGGATTCAAAGTAATTATTATTGGTGTTTAATTTGATAAGTGTCTTTAAATTGGCCAATGATACATGAATATTGCCACTATAGTTTTTTCGCAAAGATCCAAATATCTTAGTTCATTAGGTTTCTGATTGAACCTGGATCTTGACCTCGTAATATTACGCCTAAAGGCAAGAGTTTTTGAGACAAGAAAATATTCTTAATGAAGAAGAAAATACCACTCTTTATTTCAAAGTGTTGTTGATTATGTCAAGTGAAATTACCTCGGAATATTTAACAACGCAAGTGACACCCTCCCAAAAACAGCACACTGTTGTTCCATGAGCTTAACCATGCATTATTATCGCTAGGGTTAGACCGCGAAATTCGAAATTCATCTTTTAATTGCAGAAATGGCAGATCATAGGAGAAACAAGAGTATATGGTAGGAGGGTTAAACAGAAGAGATAGCAATAACAATGGCTCCGAACCATCATATCTTTCTTTCTTTTTGTAGTCGAGTAATAGGTTATGTAATGCTTATGTGGCTTCCTCTTTAAAATAGAAGAAACTCGTTAGTTGGTGGAGCTTTTGACATGGAATTTTTTTCTGTCAGTTGTTCGAATTGGGTTGATTTTCCAAGTCTTCTTATACTCTATATGATCATTTGATTTTTTTTTCCAAGGGCTCAAACTTCTCTCCATAGACGTTGACTCATTCCTTCCATCTTATAATTATCCAGCACCTACTTTCTTCTTCTTTAAGTTAAGTCACTTTGGGTTTATTACACGACTTCCTTAGTTCATAATCAGGAAAAGTAAAGGAACTCATAAAGTGGCTTAATTTTCCATGAACATACTAATCAAGGGTTTCTTGCTTTCTATGTTGAGAACTTTTTTTTAACATACATACCATAAATTATCATAGCTTAATGAAGTTTTTACGACTATTTCATGATAACAAAGCTTTTGTTAAATGGTCACCACTATGATATCTGATAATTTTGTCTTTGATTCCACCATCGTTGTAAAAGAAAATTGAAAGGAGTAGTAAAAATCGAAAGTACAGGATCCAGTCGCGGATCTAGAATCAATTTCTAATGTGGTTAATATGTTATACGAAGAGAAAATGAGGGATTTAATCATATTTTAATGGGGTCAATATAAGGAATTTAAACATATTCTATAATTTACTCTTAATTTTTAAAAGCAAATCAGTTAAAATTCAAAAGTCGTTGAGGTCAAGTGACACCAATACCACCAACATAGCTCTGCCACTAACAAGACCAATCCGACAGGAAACTCAATAAATTTTAGAATGGATTAAAATCCGCCAAAACTGGTTATCCTTGTTTTGAATGCTATTTGCTTTTACTGGTATATATTTAATGTTAAGAACATCTATCAGCAATTTGTTGTCCAAGTTAATTTACGCTACAATTAGCTAATACAAGTCCTTAATAATAAATTATTCAAATTTTCATTTTGTAAAAAAATATTTAAGTTTTGATTATATTTTTGATTAAGTTAAAAAATCAGATTTGAGTTAAGCCTCTTAAACTAGCCGAAATCCGTCAAAACTGGTGATCTGGTCCAATACCAAAGCCCAGTTAATAATCATTCATAATTTTTGATTCATTATTAAGACTACAATTTGAGTAAAAAGAAAAACAAAAATTGTCAACCAATTTGAGCAATATTATATTTACAAATTGCAAATTTTTAAAAGATATTTTTCCTTTTAAAGGTCGTTTCCAGTTTTATTTGTCAGTTTTATGGAAAATCAATTTATCTCATTTGATTTCTATGTTTGTTATCATTTTTTTTTTCTTCCCTTCATGATAACTCCTTCCCGATCAACACATTTTGAAACATTCGTGATTTGTTTTGTTCACAAAAAACTAGAATGATTTAAGATGCTGTTTTTGTTGCTAAGTAAAGTGATATTGAAAATCTTTAAGCATGTTTTGTGTATGTTAATTCATGTTTTATGGTTATTTACACCTAAAACTTAAGCATGTTTTTCTTTAATTTTATAAGGACTTGGGTTAGTTTAATATTATATATAAAATAAAAAGAAGCCATAAAACTATGATGCACAAAAGAAACTCAATGCCAAGTTCTCCAAAACAAAAAAAAAAACAAAAAAAAAATTAAAAAAACCATGAAAGTTAAGAGTTTGATAAACAAAACACGACATGAAAAAAAAACTGAATGAAGCAAAGTCTAAATGATCACATAAACCATATTATTTTCGAGCCAACGGACTCACAACCATTTTCCGTCGCTACTCTTCTGTCATTTCCGCCCCTTCTGCTGCTTCCCCCGCCTCCGCCACCGCTTCCCCACCGCTGTTTTCACCGCCTCCCCCACCACTTCTTTCACAGCCATAAAGTTCACACAGCATTTTGTGTAAACGACTTTCGCTATCAACAATAATGGCTACATGTTCGTCTATCTGACGCTGCATCCTTGCGTCCAAAGTAGTGTTACGCGACTCACGCCATCGGTTAATCCTCGCGTTGCCATTGTCAGTGATTTGGGACGGAACATTTGGAATTAACATACCTGTATTGGTTAAGATTCTATCCATATCACTATGAAAAAAATAAGGCACACCGTCACTCTCCACCCTGGTTGGCTGAACCAATAATAAATCATCAATATGTTAAGTATTCATCGAATAATATCAATTCCAAACAAAATATAATATCAGACAATTGGAAAAAATTTTAGGTCTAGATCTGTTACCATGTCAAGTAATATATCATCATCTCTTTCTAGTTGATCACGCAAAACATCGATATCCCGATATGGCGGGTCTAGATCTACAGGTTTTGCGAACAACCATTTTCCCTTTTCAATCTGTCTACAACATGGACATTCCATCTTGTTCTTTATATTGAAGAATGAACCAACACAATCTGTAGGAAACCAAACCTATTAGTGAATGATTTTTTATAATTAAAAATATTCATAATGAAAAATACACCTACAATATTAACTTTCCCAGCCAACAATCTCCTTACCAATTTGCTAAATAATCTCATAAATATTGGGGCAATTTTGGTCGACATAAATATATAGACAACCAAGAATGTCTCAGGGAGTGATGTAATAATCTGAAGACCCAATATTGTAATGCAGGTTCGAGTTAATGGATACATCAAACAAGGTGGAGATCGAGAGAGAGACAAAAACAAATTATTTCCATCAAAGAATAAACTAAGATAATAGATTCACAACAAAACTCTACAAAACAAAACAAATAATAAGAATCTCCAAACAAATCGAAAAGGGACATTAATCAACAGAAACAAATAAAAAAATGGATCTATTTGGTGCTCACCTAAGTGAAACCTGTGGCTACATTGAAGATTAACCACAGTTCGTTTAGCATCATTAGCCAATGGCTCGAAAAAAACCGCACAGTCTTCATCATCAACTGGTTCAACGACTCGTTTGCTTTCTTTAATATCACTCTCTAAACTCATAGCTACTGTCTAATCTTATTAAAAGAAAAAAAAAATCTCAAAATCTCAGAAAGAATGGAAAGAAATCGCTGACTGAAACTTGACAATGGAAGAGCCCAATTTATATAGACGGGCAAGTACTGGTTGATTCACTCCCAAGATTTTACTCTTTTATTTTTATCTTATCCACACTTTTTAACCACCTCTAAATAAAATTTCTCATAGTTCACGTTATTTCTTAAATATTGTTTTATTTTCTAGTAAGATAGTTATAGGACTTCTCCTTTGAAAACTTTACAATCTCCTTATGTTTTCTATCCAATATTTTACATAGACTAGCTAAATTATAATATGATTTTTTTTATATAAATTTTCAGTGGATTAGTTGCCAATCTTAGATACCTAACAATATTCAATAAGTAACAGATGTTGGTGTCGGATCCCGCAGTTCGGATCCGGTCCGGAAAAATAGTGGATCAATAATACGAAGTGGGCCGTCGGCCCGGTCCAGGGGACGAAAAGAGCGGCCCAATAAGTTCCAGCCCAGTTCGAGTCAAACGTCGGGATCTCACGAGTTAAATGAAAGGCGGGTTGCACGGGATCAGCTAGATCGGGAAGATTCGAAACGGAAGCAATAATGAAGGCGAGATCTGCGGCTTGATGAGCGACTTCGGTTTCAAATCGTGTAATTATAAATAAGAAACGAAAACCATTGTATGGGGGGACGGAATTTTTCTTGAGCAATAAACAGACACATAGACTTTACTCTCTTGTTTTCTTTTCACGATTGTTGTTCGAATTAGCAAGGCTAGACGATCCGATACACATCAATTTTGTATTGCGGATTCCGACATCCACAATTTGGCGCTAGAAGGAGGGTATTTCTAGTCTTTTACTCCAGAATATCAATCGAAAAGATGTCAGACGTGGCGGATCCGGCTTCAGTCCTCGACGAGATCAAGAAGTTGCTGAAAGATCTGTCCGAGAAGACCGACCAGCAGCAGCTCGCCACCACTGCGTTGTCTGAGAAGCTTTCAGCGTTTAAAGAGCAAAGCGGCAGCCAAATCGCAGTCCTCACAGCAAGTTGTTCCGAAATCAGGTCAGCCCATCATGCTTATGCGGATCGGGTTGATACAATTCTTGCAGGAACTTTGCGGACCAGCGGACCTCGCGGCCATTTGGATTTTCATGGTCCGAACGTTTCGGA